CTCTTCTTCTTCTTCTTCTCTCTCTCTCTCTCTCTCTCTCTCTCTCTCTCTCTCTCTCTCTCTCTCTCTCTCTCTCTCTCTCTCTCTCTCTCTCCTCATTTTCGTTTCTTTCTCCGTCGATCGTCGTTTCGAAACAACTATTCATCGATCGATCGTCCGCCGTTCGTCGAGTCGCAACAATTTTATCGATAAGAGGAGGAGAACGGTGTTTCTTTTTTTTTTTTTTTTTGGAAACTCTTTATACGTTTTCGCGTATAAAGAGCGAACGAAGAGAAGAACCGAGGAAGGAATGGAAATGGATCGCGAGAAGTCGGGTGGAGCGATAAAATCGGGTAAAAGGAAGGCGGGCGAAACGGCACGCGGCGCGTCGTGGCCGATCACACGCGCGTGGCATCCCTGATGGGGCCCTCGGTGTTCACGGTGTGACGCGAGCCCGTGTCTCTCGGGGGCCCTCGATTGTCAACCTCGTGGACTGAATTTCGTATTCGCCGAGCATAATGAGCTCTCCTCCGAACGAAGACGAATCTTCTCGCGAGACCGTGAGAGAACGTCCGATCCATCGGTCACATTTACTCGTCAGGCATCTTTTTTGGAAACGATCCCCGTTTCCAGCTACCTCCGCTACTACTCTAACAGTATATATACGCGTATATATACTACTCCCGGATCTTGACAGCTTCTTCTTTCCTCTTCCCCCCTCCACCACCCCTCCCCGCCCCGAGAGCCTTCCTTCAAATGGCTTCTTTGGCCGTGCGAGATCGATCGATAATTTTTTCCTTTTTCATCCAACGGAAGAATCGAGGCGAAATGCCTCGCAATGTTCCGCGAGATCGAAATCGAGAGGCGCACGGTGGTCGAAAAAGTCGAGCGAGCCAGTCTTGTCGCGCGGAGATCCTTGGGAGATGGAGCGGGATCGGGATTTAGCAGGATCCCTGCAAGATTCCAGAGCGCGGAACGAGCCGCACGCGCGTGACGGTATGCGTAATAATAGTAAAACCGAATGAATCCACCATCGTCCCCGGCCGGTGTGTGTAATATATATCTCGCCGGTTTTCGGACACCGCGTCGAGAGCCGTGCCCGTCCGGGTCGGGTGGAGCGTAACGAGGGGCAGGGAGGCAGGGAGTAGCACCGGGTAAAAAGGCTCGCTGCCGAGGGAGGCGGCGGTCGCGCTGCTGCCGGTGCTCGAGTGACCGTGATGGAGGCGAGGGGGTGGTCGGGCGAGATCAAAGGGGCCGCCGTGAGAAGTGGCCCGGCTGCTCGAGATTCTTGTCTGCCGGGTCGCTGGGAGCCCCTCGCGCGGAAAGAATTTGTTTTAGTATCGCGGTAAGGAGAGGAGAGGAACCAACCTACCCTTCCTGGTGCCACCTAATTCCATCGCGCGCGGCCCCGTTGCGCGCGCGCGCCACTCTCCTCTCCTCTCTCCGTTTCTTCTTCTCCACTCTCGCTACGCGAATCGATCGCTTCGTCGATCGAAGTCGCGAGAGACCAACGAACCGACGTGCTCGCAACGTGCACCTCCTCTCTCGATCGTGCTCTCGATCGACGCGCGGACTGCGCTCTCGGAATGCGCTTACAAGTGGAAATACCGATCGTTAGGAAAGGACGAGGACGGGTGTAGCCGTGTACACCTACTATACGTATGGCAGGATGGAGAGAAAGGGCGAGGGCGGAGGAGGCAGGGGTGGCGGGAGTGTCGGAACCATTAGCGCGGATGCCTGTTCGTATGCGGTCAGAATCCTTTTATCCCGTACAGAGATTCCTGCGGGATTCCTTCGTTCGTTATCATCGCGTGCAACGCACGGCCAAAGCAGAAACGAAACGAGGCAGAGGGACGTAAGGAGGAAGAGGAACGCGATGGGAAACGCGCGGGATGAAGGGGGAGAGAGGAGGGGGGAGAGAGGGGGAGGAAGGGAGAGAGAGGGAGAGAGAGAGAGAAAGAGAGTCGAACCAGTCCTCTCGGAGGCACGGGCCTCCCACGATATTCGCCCGGTGAGGAGTTATGAAGTCGTCCAGCCGGAGAACCAGTTGGCTATATTTCGCGAGGATAGGTCCGCGGTGATTCGTGCAACACCACCACCCGGAGACGAGGGGACGAGGAGATCCACCGTCTTTGAGAACGACGCATCCGGAGATCCGGAGAGACAAGAATGATGATGCGTCGACGAATCCTTCAACTCCTTCGTAAAACGTCTTTATTTTCACTTTTTTTTATACGTCCATTTTTTTATAAATTACAAAAAATCGTGTGAAAAAAAAAAAAGAAAGAATCCGCGATGCGCGTTTGCAATCACTGTAAATCATCGTTTTCTCGCTCGAAGTTAAAAGTCAGAGACGTCGTCGAAAGTAACGGCGTAAGGAGCTAAGGGAGAAGAGATGTGTATAAAAATAATTTACTCGTTTTTCCATCTCACCACCAGTGTCGAATATTTACAAACATGTGGGGGGAGACTTTTCGCGCGACGCTTCGACGAACGCGATAAATATTTCGAAAAATATAATATATATATATATACATTTACATATAAATTTATATTCATTTATATATATATATATATATATAACTAGTCTACGCATATTATGTACAAGTACACGATCCGGAGGATCGGAATAAATAACGAGTTTAACGAATCTCGCGTTCGCTAAAAAAAAAGGGAGGGGGAGAAAACATGGCGCCTTGAGGGGAACGCCATATTTGCGATATTTCGAAGAAAAAAAATCCGTGAACAAGAGAGAGATTAATTAACATATCGTATGTACAAGTGAGACCATTTTTCAAAATTTTTACATATTACTAACGTTCTAAAATTACGATCGCGATCCGATATAATAACAATCTTTCTCACCGTCTCAGTCTTTAGTACGCGTCCGCGAACGTCGTAATAAATATACGGTTTCAATCGTTTCGCGTAATACTGAGAGACAATACAATAGGAGAATCCGCTCGAACGTAGCGGAGGCGAATCCGTCGCGGGATTCGATCGATCCGAAACACGCACGAAACCGAACGCACGCAGCGTTCGTGTCCTTCTTCGTAGTGCGTAGAATCGCATGGATCATCTTGTCTCGTCGACAACGACGAAGACGACGAATGATTTCGGGAAGCGGCGAGTGACTACTACTAGAGAAAAATATGTCCTTCGCCAGGAAGGAGGTAGTCTCTTCGAAAGAATGAAAATCGGGGATGGAGAGGAGAGGAGAGGAGAGGAGAGAAGGAGAGGAGAGGAGGAAAGGAGGGAGGGAGGGAGGGAGAGACACAGGGAATGAAGGGTGGGTTTTGGCCTAGAGACACGTGTGTATCGTCTTCTTAATTTTGCAGAGCTGACACTTGACCTCGCAGCACCAGTGAAACGTGCAGGCGCATCTCTCGACGACTGTCACCTCTTGCGTTTTGTAGCCTCTGCCGCAGCACATCAGGTCGCAGCCGTCGACACCGATACTCGTGTCGTTGCACTGTCTACCGTGGGTGCCGAGAATGCCGAGTTTCGGGTTCTTCTCGCAGAACGGGGGCGAGGGTTCCAGGTAGACGAGGTCCTTCGGTCCGGGCGGCTTGTGCTCCGGGTTGTACGGCTTCAGCTGGAAGTTGTACCGGTGTCGACGACCCAGACCTTCTCGATGCCCGTGCACCGAATTGCTCGCCGAATTGCTCACGATCGCGTTCCCATTGCCACGCACCCGATCCGAGTTGCTCACCATAACTCTGGACGCGCCGTCGAATCGATCCTTCAGATTGTCCCCGACCACGCGAAAGTTGGGTAGCCTCATCCAGCAGGTCTTCACCGTGCAGGAGCCGGACATGCCGTGACACTTGCATTCCTGCCGCATCTCCGAGGACACGTGCTGCGACATACGAAGCAACCATATCTCGATCCTTTCCTTCTTTTCCTTTTTTTTTTCCTCTCCTCCTTTTATCATATTACGTCATATTATCGCTTTTTATCGCCGCGAAAGAAACTTACCGCTCTACCTGCCTCGTTATTGTGAAGATTCATCTTTTCGCGTAGATTTCGACCACGCTCGCCCGTGTCCACGAATTCACGGGAGAATTTGAAACCGTAACCGATGTTGTCCGAACAACCACCCCATTCCCAATCGCGCGTGGCGGATGGTGGTCGCGATTGGTGGGTATAGTCGCAGGAACAGGACTGGATGCTGCCTTCGCTGCACGCTCTCGCGATACTGTGAGTCACCGCAGCGCTGGTGATGGCGTAGATGAAGGCGGTCTCTCGGCAACCTGTACAAACAAAATACAGTTACCGTCAACTTGGGATTACCAATTCTTTTCAACCTTCGTTTCATCTCTTTTCGTCCAAAGTATCGTACTGTTGATCGTTGGCTAACAACGAGTGGACAGAAACATCCACTGGGTGGAGGAGGAAGGGTGATTCGTAAATCGCGGCGAACGAGTCGAGACGTCGGAGGAGAACGTCTCAATCGTTCGCGTGGGCTACCTGCGCGCGCGAAATCCGCTGGGCGCAGGTGTGGAGGGAAGCCGGCACGAGGATGTGGGCAAAGGAGAAGAAACGTGGTCCGATGTCTTTCGAGCGAAAGACAGGGACGGAGATGCGAGCGGTTAGAGCGAGAACAGGCGCGCGACCTTAACCCCGAGTGGGCTGACCCGAGAGGCAGCTCGACCTTATCTGCATAAGGCGCAGGTGCCTGCCGGTTCCTTTGCAACCAACCGACCGAAGGTATCGCGCGTAGCCTCCGAGCGAAAGGGTCGTTTCGCCAATTGCCACCTACGTGTATATGGTCGCGGAGATAACGGGAGGTTATCGCTCGATGCGCCAACGCGATTCCCGTCGTCGTCGAATGGGGAGAGCGTGAGAGATCGAGAGATGGGTCCTCTCTTCTTTCAACTTTCAACGGGAACCCAAGTAAGACGTCAAACCGTGATGGAGAGACGAAGAAAAAAAACCGGTATCGACCGGGGACGTAATCGACCGCGTCAAATTTCGGGGCGAGAATTCGTCACGAGTGTTTTCCGCGCGCGAGTGACGCGCTCGGCATTCGCGTTCACGCGTTTCCCGCGTGGAGCAGAAAAGACGCCTTCACGCCGAAATGCGGTAAGAATGGAAGAGGATATGGAAGAGAGGTGGAAAGAAAGGAACGATTTTTCCCTAATCCTCCGAATCCAAAGACCGGAGGCGAAAACGGTGGTCGATAGATCCTTTCCAGGCTGGAGGTAACCTTACGAGGAAGAGGCCGACGGCGAGGGAACGCAAGATTTACGCCGTTCCACCGCGTTACCGCGCCGAATCCTCGAGCTGTCCTCCTCGAAATTTCATCGGTTCCGGATATTATTCCTCATCATCTCGGACTGCCATGACCGAAAGGATTACACGGCTGGTGGGAGTTTTTCTCGCGAAAACGAACGTCGTTTCCCCCGATATTGTTGACGATGAAATCATCTCGCGCCCGTACTCTCCTCGTCGTAATCGTCTTCGGAGAGAGCGTGAGACCGCGCTCCAACGATCGTTTTCCTCCACGATTTTTTACGATCGTCAAACACCCGGATGGTCGAGATAAGAGAGACGAGGCCGAGTCACGACAATGGTATTTAAGGCGAAAAAAATCGTTATCGAAAACAGAGAGAGAGAGAGAGAGAGAGAGAAAGGAACAGAACTTCTCGATATTTTTCCGAGAGGGATGTTTGTTTGTCCTGTGCGGGCTTGGAACGCGCACACGACCACGACCACGACTTCGACGGTTTGTCGTGATAAACGGTTTCACGTTCGCTTTATCGGTCCGTGCAAATAGTGGAGAAGACGTGGCTCGTTGCCGCAGGGCAAATAGCCGGACGTAATATTGTTCGTTGAAAGTCGTTCGTTGCGTGCCCGTTCGCATACCGGAGAAGAAAAACGTTGGTTGTTTCGCGAAAAGCGAGAGCGTCATCGCTCGAGCGCGCGATATCCGAAAGAAGAAAAATAAAAAGGCGCGGAGAGAAGAGAAAGAGAGAGAGAGAGAGAGAGAGAGAGCGAGAGAGCGAGAGAGAACGAGAGATCGTAGCCGAGTGACATCGCGACGCGGGTTTACGACGGTCGTCCGCGACCGTGGTGAAATTCCAGGAAGATAAAATCGCCGGAAATTATTGCTACCGCCGCGAAGATCCGGAGGAAGCCGGGCGAGAGAGAAAGAAGGACGAGAAAGGAGGAAAGGAGAGAGGAGAGGAGGAGAGAAACGCGTGGTTGGTCGACGTCGATCCTCGAAAAACTGCATCGCTACAACCGGCTCGCGTTGCTTGAATGCAAAAGTGGTGTAGGGTCGGGGAGGAAGGGGTCACACGTGGGGGGAAGAGGGGTGCGAAAATGCGATCGCCATATAGGTTATGCGGACTGGCGCGGGAACTCGTACTCCGGAGCGTGGAAGCAAACAAGATGTAAAAATCACGGAGGACCGATGGGGGGCAACAGGCCCATTGGCTCGCGGCTCACGTTTTCGCAAGAATCGTGGCGTGCCGTCGACACATGTAGCCCATCATAGGCCGCGATTTATGGCGGCGTAACGCCATCGTAAAAACCCGATGACGGGTCTCCGTATAAGACGCGACGCTCGCGCGCCACGCCGTTTTGATATCGATCGCGAATTTCCCCTGTAAATGGCCTCTCGATGCTCCGCGCTATCTCTTTCTTCCTTCCTTCCTTCCTCTCCTTCTCTTTTCTCCTCTCTTCTCTCTCTCTCTCTCTCTCTCGATCTCGATCCCGATCCCGATCTCCAAGTCCGCGTGCACGGAACACGCTCTCCCTATATTCGATGATCGTTCGCGCTCCGATCGCTTTCGTTCCGCGTTGCACTTTCTCTCTTTCTCTTTTTTCTCGAAACTGGAATCGGACGCGTTTTCGATCCGAAATGGAAAGAAAACGCAACGGACCGCACGGAGGCCTCGCGAGATTCGCAGTTTACCGAGCAATTAGACGGATACGGAGTTCTCGGCTCGAGAATCCACGCGAGACCAACACCTCGAAACGATGCGCGCCGCAGGGGAAAGAAGAAAAGAAGAAGAAGAAGAAGAAGAAGAAGCAGGAGGAGAGGAAGGAGGGGAAGGAGAAGGAGAGCGAACGAAACCGAGGGTAGACACCGATGCGGTAGGTGGCTCTTGGCGGCGAAATGATTACAGGCCGCGAACCTACTCACTACCAGCTATAATATCGAGTACAAACGCCTCCAAAAGTATCGCGGCGTACCTTCGGCTTGGACACGCGCGGGATATTTCTGCCGCTCGAGTATCGTCGGACGAACGTTACCGAATTCAACCGATTTCGTTCACGGTCGGTGAAATTAAAAAAAGGAGAGAGAGAGAGAGAGAGAGAGAACAAGAGA